ACCGTGTTACACGCAGTGAAGTAAAAACGACAGATAGACAGCGGTAGACGAGGGAAATTTATTTCTTACGCGTTCACTCGAAAATATAATTTATGTCTATATCTCAAAGTGCGTGACAGTTCTCTAAAATTTCGGGGAGATCATCCGGAATCGCGCCGTTCTAAAATTCGAGATGCAAGTTTAAATGCGGCCTCAATGTATTTATGTAAATGCGATACAGAACGTTCGCTGCTGTCTCGCGGTGCGATGTTACGGCTTGCGTCAGAAGAGCGACGACGACAGGTGGATGGGAGCCGCGGCAATGAAAATAGAAATGGACCTTTAACACCCAGCACCGTTTCATCTCTCCGAAAGAAATGGGCATACATCTTATTCCCGCCCAACGAGACGTGTGAGACGGAAATTAAATACCGAAATGTGGTACTCGACGTTAGAATCGACTGTTTCAAAGGACATGAGTCAATGTTTTTTACGAATGAGTCAGAAAAAGTATACCTTTTACTAAGGCAGCATTGTATACCACATAGAAGATACGTATCTAGCAACGCGGTGACATATTTTTGAAGCGTTCCATGTTTACTTTGATGTACAGATATCGCTGAATGTATATAGATCAAATTAGAGAGAAGTGGCGTAAGAGCCCGCAAATACGACCGTGCATCTAAAAAATGGTGTATTATTCTTTCAGGGATAATTAGAACTGAACAATGTATGAAATGACTTTCGCGAACTATTCTCGCGAAATAGAAACTTCGAAGCAGGAAGCATTCATCTTGAGCCAAGAATTTGAGTCATCTCTCTTAATTCAGTCGCGATTTTCGGTATACATATAACGAATGGGTATAGCAGCGAGCGGAAATGATGCGCTAGAGCATAAATAAGCGTGGATTTTTTAACACGGCTCGACGCTATATCGCCTTCGTAAAGACGGCCTTAAATTGCGTTAGAATCCTCTCGATAGGGCCTTCGAGCAGTGGCGGCTCACAGTTAGAGAGAAGCTGACATGAGGGACAGGTGGTGCTAAATAAAGACTGGACCGTCGCCAGCCGCGGCTCCAAGATGGCCGGCCGAGACGTTCGGCGTCGTCGTTCTTCGTCGTCGTGGTCGTCGTCGTGAGTCGTCGTCGTCGTTGTCGTCGTCGTCGGCGCTCGCTTACGACACAAATTTACCGTCGGACGGAACCGTCTCTGACGTCTACCGCAACGTCCGGACCGGTGTTGGATTTCACTTTTCCACCTACGTTTCGCTAATTCGAGGACGCGCGTCGCGAACCACGCATCTACGCCTATGCGTGACGCCGACAGCGACGTTTTTGCCAATAACGCGTGTCGACGTGCTAAATGCGAATTTTCGGACGATATAGTCCGCGAATATTCTCCCGTGACGAAAAACTTCGCCAGTGTGCAACAGCGCTGCGCCGCATTGCACTCCGCAAACATAATGAAAAAAATTATTTTCAAATCCATCTAACATTTAAAAACATAATCAACAGTTCTCCTTTTATTGTGATATATTATGCAATTTATTTTAGTACGTTTATACAATTGCAACTTTCTTTACGTTTAAGTGACAGTAACGCGAGCTTTTAAAAGTAGAACTAAATTAAAACTAATTGACTTCATTAGAGAACCTTTGGTAATTTGGATCTGTAATTTCGATCACGCGAGAGTCAATTGGCCTTTGCATGGGGCTTCGCCGGATCGCACAAAAAATGAACCCCCTTCATATGACGCTTCTATATATTCACGCTTCTTTCATGTGATTGCGACACGTTTCTTCGCGAGATGAGGAAAGTTAGAACCACCTCTCCCGTGACCTTTCATTAAGAGGCGAGAAAAAAGGGAGTTTCAGATTACTCCGTAAAAAAAATCACCGCAAAGAGTGATAGCGAATCAAACTATAAGAGTTTCTGCCTTCTGCGTACGTATACACCTTCTCCCACAGTCGCGAAAACAAAGTAATTGGTAATCTCGAGCAGACTTATTGCCATAATGACGATCCTACAATTGATACATGCTGCTTCCGATAATTAATACTGAAGTAAATTAAAAAAAAGTTATCCACGACGACGCCGCGACGCCATGATCCGTTCCGCGACTTCATGACGTAGAGCTATATGTATATTTATGCCGTGTTATTTGAAAGTTCAAAAAAATCACCCACGTACAACACCAAAAAAATACAACACCAATAGCGACACCAAGTGTAGTGTAAGCCTTTACCACACACACAAGGTTATTAATATTATAGTGGTTAGCGGATCCTATACAGTCTCGACGGGTATCCGACGGGTATTTCGTGAAAGACACTTCGATCCACCTTATCGCATTCCAAGGAGGAGTATACTCATCTCGCATCGCCTCCATTGCGAATCCTAAACTGATGTGTTAGCTTTACAGAAATAATTTCGTTGAATCGCTCTTCTCGTCCATTTCGAGCATGCGTGAATTTTTCTCTCGACCACATCTCTCCCGCCGCGTCTTAATATTGCTTATTTAATATTGTTATATGTTCATTTATATCGCGAATAAGATTAATGATCTAGGAAGAGACAGCGATTTATTAAGCGAAATTCTTTTTTTGCAAAAAATTACCTCAATTGTTGGTACAATCGGGTGAAATTTATGCGTTTTCCACATTTCAACGAAATTTTCGTGCGGCATTGAAGAATCCACCGAGCCAAACGAGGTGAACCGCGATAGGATCGATTGTCGCGCAATCAAAAATTAATACACGCCGTTCGTGTCTCAGTGCCGGTCGATTTCCGGCGGAGCCCAAAAGAAGAAAATCTCCCAGTTCGCGAAATCGCGGCCGCGTTTCTTTTTATTCAACCGAATTCCAACGTTTCTTCATCCTCTCGGCTTCTGCACTTGGCTTCCATCTATCCGTTTCTCCGTTCTCGCGGAATCGCGAAAGGCGCTTTAGGCGAGCAAACGAGGCACGAGGAGAAGCCTGCATGGCCTACGTGTGTCGAAAGACTAAATATTTATAAGCAATGGCCGGACGGTTCGTTGGCGGATCAGATACGCTTCTTCCTTGGCTTGCGTTAATTTAACGAAGAAACCTCCTATTTCGTAATTTATACGGCTCTTTATGCCATTCACATTCCATATTTCATATCACGGTTCTTTAATTCTAAAGAGGAAACAATGCAGCCGGATTGATGAAATACGTTTAAGGGGGGAGTCAGCTTAGCTACAAGACTCGTTAAAATGTCTAATAAAATACGTCGTTCGTTTCGACTAAAAAACAAATAACCCAACGCAAAAGGAAACATTGTGAAAATTCGTGTCTAAAATTGGAAGACGCTTTACCCTCGCTCCGTTTTAGTATTCCCGCCACCATAGGCAAACAAAAGGAGTAATTATAATTAACGGAGTACAATATACACATAAGAAAATAAAACAAATTGTCGAAAGGCAAAATTTTCAGAAATACGTTAAAGTCAAGAAAAAGATTATGCGTTTAAAAGATTGTTTAAAAAAATAACCGCTCGGTAAGAATAAACGAGTAACGTTTTACTCCCTAAACTCTAATTGCGAATTATTAGTTTCAATGATTAAAGACCGACAATTGACCGAGAAAATTACGTCAAAAGTTTCATTATTTTTCAACTAATTAATAGTATAATACTGCTCGAATACTGCTATAGATTGAACATATCGTTCTTTATTTTTCTCAATGTGTTAATGAGTAAAAGAGAAAAATTAGTTATAAAGAATTTGCAGTTTTGGTGTCTCGAAGTGATTCTTAAAGATTTTAAAATAATAAATATGATCTCTCGAATTATTTAATATCTGAGATAACATTGTTTATATTGATAGCATTATCCCTTTCGTCTTTCTTTTCTATGCCTGTTTATAATTAAAAAAAAAATTTGCCGATCAGACGAAGTAACGGACTACAACGTTTCGATTTTATTTTATACGAGCGGTAAAACGTCAAACAAATCAAAGAGGTAACAGCTATCTAAACTGCGATTATTATTGCTACGATTATCATTATTATTATTATGCTTATTAAGAAAAAAAAGTGTGAAGAGTGTAAAGATATAATATTAAAAAAAACTAACACCAAATAACAAACAATCGCAAATCTCTCAGCAACCGCAATCATTATCATCACTTCACGTCAGTTTCACTAAGAAATAAGAAACAAGAAAAAAAACCACAGTCAAAAAAGTACGTTAGGAGAAGAAGAACAGGCCGATCCCCGGAAGATCTTCGCTATGTACTTCATGGAAAGAAATTCGTAGGTACTCATACGTGTAGATTTCTGATACGTGTGCGTGTGCCGCTTTCTCTCTCATTCCCTTTCTCTCTCTCTCTCGCTCTTTCACCGATCGCTAATACATTTGCCCTTTTTTTCTCTCTTTCTTTTTCATGTCTTTGTCTCTCTTTCGCGTTAATATGGGGTCCTTAGAATGGCCCTTGGCCGTCTCAAGGATCTCGGAAAGAGAACTCTCTGCCCGTCTCCTTACGCGCGCGCGTCAGGATGCTGAAACGTCATATATATGGTGTCTTAAAAAAAAAGCTCGTAAAATTACTCGACCGTGCGGCTCCGTTAAGCGAATGGCTTGTTGGCTCTTAAACATTGCATTACCGACTATTAATTACCGTCGTATCGATATTCCCGAGAAATTCTTGCGCAAAACTAAACGACTCGTGTGTTCGCTGCAAGGATGGATTTCAAAAATTTTATTCTCATCGATAATTCGCAAAGCCCGAAAAATTCTCGATTCCATTTACAAGATATCGATCAGCAAATTTACATAATCGCTGCGAAAATGATCGATTATTTTGCAATTTAACTTGCCTACGTGATAATTGAAAGAAAAATCGCGCGCGAAAACGATTTCATTGACTTGCAGCGAATAAATTCGGTAGCCATCGATTATAAACGATCACGAGGATTCCTGACTTAGGCTACTTTGATCTAGCTACAGTTACGACATTTAAGTTCTTAATATCCGTCGACAAAGCACATAAATGTAGACTCACCCGTATTGTCCGGGAAGCACTGTTGGATAACCAGCCCGGATGCCTGCAGCGAACGGGAATGCTAGAATCACAAACATAATCGGTGAATCTCAGTTTTTAATACCTAATTCTATATTTCTTTATTATTGTAATTGAATCGCTTAATACACTTAAACATTCTTTTGCTAAATGTTAAGAAAATCTTAAAAATTTTGTTTTTGTATCGTACAATGAAACGTCTACCTTTTTCGAGAGAAATTTTTCTATTACATTGTAAGCTTAATCATTCGTAGCATTTATGATCCAGGATCCTATAGGATTTCATCATATTATTTCACACAGTTAATAAGAATAGTAAAAATAATTCATCTTTTTAGTCAGAAATCTATGTCATGTGTCAAATCTTAGTAATGTCATGTTTCATTCATTGGTATAATCAATATAAAACTAGTATCTGTTCAAATTCTGCCGGATCAATACGGGATGAAATTATCATTACGAAAATAGCTGGCGTAATATCTCTCAATCTCGAAGAGATAATCCAGCAAACAAAAATTCGCTTGAGTCGTCATAAATTAGAAATCTATGCTGTCCACGTTGATGACTGAATAAATCATTCGATTTTAAAGACTCGCAATCGATTCGCAAACATTTTCATGTTTTTTGACATTATTTTGTTTACCAAAAATTTCTGATAATGATTATTCGATAATTGTTATGTCCTATGCTATTTGACGGTGTAGCGCCGTCGAATAGAAATAAATAGAAGCAGACACATTGATGTACGTGAAACATGCGCACGAATCCACGTACTGATGCTTCAATGGCATGCTCGCTATCTGAGAGTACATTATGGCGTGTAATAAACTTGAAATGGCCAATAGTAACCGAATATATATCACGATTCCCGTCCTATCAAGAATATGTTTCGCCCTTCCTGTTGCAACATGGCGTAATATAACTTTTCTAGTATATTTTATAGTATATTTTATAATATATTTTATAGTATAGTTCATTTTCAGAAATTCAATATAATTGACAAAGTTTTATCTTTCCCCTTTTTAGAATTTTACGTACCAAATACAATCCTGTTATATTTATACATAGATAATTCTAAAAAAATAAGAGCAGAAGATATAGAATAATCAACTTTACGTTTTTGTTATACAAAAATGAGTAATTTTCTAATCAAAATCGACTCGAGTCAAAATACTTTTTGATAGAATTTTTGAAACTTTGTCCAGAACATTCAAAAATTAGATATGTAAAAAAATATTTTAATCTTTAAATCAAACAAACTTGAAAAGTTTCCACCAAGAAATTATAAACAGCCACGACTTCTTCTATTCTTGTTTTTATTGAGTGATGTTAAGTGTTAGTAAAACTTTTGTCTAAAAATGAGATAAAAATAGAAGTGGATATAGAAAGTAATTCACGTCATCAAAAGCAATTGCGAACATTATGACGTATACTGGCAGCTAAAACTTGACTTTAAAACGAGAATCTCACTCAGCATTAAACTGGAGATAATTCTTGTATCAGAAAAAAAGAAAGCCGGACAAGACCGGTACTCGGGTTAACGCAAATTTAGACTTAGGTCTCGAAGCGCCAAGCTATGCTGGCTCAAAGCCACCAAGAGAGTTCGAGAGAATGACTCAGGGGACACTTCACTACTTGGCTGATCGTCATTCGTGCTTTTCGTTTCACATCTATATACGTTGTATAGTTTACTTGTATATAAAATCATTATTGTGTTTCTCGTGATTATTTCTTGGATGAAACTTTGAAGAGTGTGCCATTTCAAATGCTACAATAACAATATTTTCTATCTGTCGCAATTAACGTCAAAAATAAATTGCGTTGATAAATGTTTCTTCAAATTTAGACGTATACGATTACTAAATAATGCGACAGATTTCTTATCCTACATGTGTGTCCAAGATGCGCGTATTGCAACGAACGAAGTTGCAGAGCTGGCAATGTATCAACAGCGTAAAACTCGTGACTGTAACACGCAAATATCAAAAATACGAAATTCAAATGCGATGTTGTTCCTATAGAATATAGATAGAAGATGTGATCGCGATTCTTAACCGGCTAAAAACGCATAAGTATAATGATTTAATCCATGTTATCCAAAATTAAGGTTTGAATAATTTAACGAAACTTCATACGAATACGACTAAAAATTAAATTCGAATGTCTTGTTAATATTCGTGAATTTCATGACAAAATCAATACTGATTAAGATGGTATTAAATCCGTTTTGCATAATTAACTTTATTTCCATATAATTTAAAGGCCAACCATTGAGAATAAGTGAAGTGGAAGGCAAATTAGTATAAGTACCTTTTCATCAAACAAAATAATTCATTCATAATAGTAGCTTATCGTGTTCGTATATAAGAATCGGTCTAGCAATCTTGAAAGTAAATTGATGTGATACATCAGAAGATAAATTTTATATACTATAACAAGAAATTAATTGGCAAATGTTCTACTAGTCTCGTAAATAAAACATAAAATAGAATATACTTACTCGTTTGCAAGTTACCCCTGGGCTTAGCTCCGAGAATGGCCAAGTTTACATTTGCTTTGCGACCGTCGATAATAGGGTTAGGATCTTTGCATGCCCTCTCCGCCGCCGGTCTATCTCCCATAATTACCTACGCATAGGTTAAATTCAGCTTTCCATTAATTGAGAATAAGCCCGGATATGTATTCCTCACATACTCTATAAATCACTAGATCTTTTAATGGTTGAAATTCGTAAATGAGACTTTTATTTTCGATTCGACGAATATCTTGAAAAGCAAAACGACTATTTTCCTCATCATTCTTACTTAATACACAATTACCTAACAGGTCAAATTCTTGTCTTAGAGAGAGTGCAGTAAAGATTAGTTATAAATATGAGAAAGTAGCAGAGGTAGCGAAGTATTACACAACACATTATTATCAAGTTTCTCGTAAACAAAGATGAGATATGATGAATTTCAAATTGTAACAAAACTCGAAGGGAAGGAGGGAGAATCTTGAGATCTTTTATTGTATTCATTCTAATTTAATTTCAAATGAGTACCATTTTTTGCCATGGATAGGCTAAAAACAAATTCATCATTACGAAAATAACGACATGTGCCCTAAAACTTTAACAAAAATATATTAGTGCTCCAAAAATTCTTTTCAAGAAGGTATAAAAAGACTTTTTCAAAATTTTTTTATTAGAAAACTATTCAGTTCTATGGAAGATATCTCGACTTATAAAAACCTTACTGCTGATAAAGTATTTTTTAATAAATATTTTTTAAATTAGTTATCGTGTATATTTGATTGGTTTAATGTTTCTATCTAATACATCCTCAAAATTAGCAAATTAAAGAACTACAAAAATTAACTATATCTCACTGTTAATTTGTCCAGGAACAATATTAAGAAAGTACAACGAAATGTATTTCCATATTATCAGCATACTTATAAATACACGCGATACAAAGAAACAGATATGAAGACTTATACGACGTAGATGCAAAAGAAAGGGCATTATCTCGAGCGGAAAGGCTAAGCTTATGTGCATATGTAAAAACAGATTGATGTGGTCTCGTTAATAAAGTTATCATAGTCAACCCGGTTGAATATAATAGCTAATCGTATCGACTGACTGATAGGTATTTTTTGCCATTAGGTCGACAAAAACTACAACAGCTGCGAAACGGAGAACAAATTTATATGACTTCGATTTATATCAAATATCGCATTAAAAATCGAATATATGCAAATATATTAATACGTAATTACTTACGAAGCCATAGCCCCTGCTTTTGCCAGTCTGTCTGTCCGTGATGACGACCGCTTCCTCGATATCCCCATAAACGTTGAAGTGTTCCCTGAGACTTTTATCGGTGGTATGATAGGGCAAGCCACCGACGAACAGCTTCGTCCATGTCGTGTCCTTTTGCTGCGGCGTAGTACCGGCGAGGGCCCCCAATCCTTGTACCAATTCGTCGGGTCCTGGGGCACTCACAGTACCTACAGCACCCACGGCGCCCACACCGAGACCCGCGGCACCCGGCATCAGCATCCTCCAAATTTTGGCGAGATCACCGCCAGACGGAACAACGACTTGCTCAATCTTGACACGTTCTTTGGTACCTCGGTCAACGTTAATAACACCACAAGCCGTGCAGCATTTAGACACGGAACGCTCCCTATTCTGAAAACAGAAAAAAATCTGTATTAAAATCGGAGAAACTATAAAGATGAAGAAAAGAGATAATAAGTTAAGAAATGTAGGAGTATTTCTATAGTGTGATTTGATTCAGAGTAATTAACAAAATCAATATTTTTTAACATAAATTCTTCGATAAAATTAGAATCGATATTTCTTTTAGGAAAAATTCATAAGCGAATTTAAGGTAGTATGTTTTACATCGAGAATCTAAAGAAACAATAAAATTTCATTTTTAAAATAAAATGTTCACACAACTTTAGAAAATTTATAGCTTATTTATGCCATATGTTAAGAACAAACTTATTTTTAACTTTATAAAATTAAAATGTCATCTCGTAAAGCGTTTATGCAGCAGGGGAAACTCGTTTTAAAGAGAACAAAATATTTTGAATGAAATCGATACGTATGTATTTTCGTCTCGAATACTTCAGATTTAAATACTGGACGAGAACGATGAGTAAAATCTGCATATAGCACATCTACTTTTCTTCCATCTCGCTTATGTAAAATAGGCATAACAGAATATCTCAATCTTATCTCATTTTATAAAAAATGATACTTGAATTTCGTCATTTTGCCTTGGAAGAAAGCAAAGAGGAAATTTATATTTATTTATTTGAAAAAAATCTCATTTATTATTGAAATGTTTTCATTTTCGATACACATTAAATGCTTTTTAGACAAAATAATCATATGTCATGCATTAAGCCTCTTTAAAATCTGTATAAATTATCGGACATTCTCATTCGTTTTAATGATGCTTGATCTACATTGTGCTCTCAAAGTAGTATGTTTGTTACGGGAGGATTAATTTGTATGTCGCGTTACTGTCTAATTCAGTTGTGTCCAATTAAGGGGGCCGCACGCGTGCGGTTTAGAAGCTCTGAAAAGATCCAATGCTCTGCACCCTTACGAGGGTGAAAGAACCATTGCACTTCGTCATGCAAACTCGATGCATACATTTGTGCGAGTTTTGCGATAATTAGGTTTTAAGCGTGCAACCAAACCGACACGCGTACTTAGCGCGTACATTGTAATGATGTACATGTTTTGATACGTACGTGTCAGTATGTATATTGTATCGACGCAATTGTTCACGACGGTGAACGATGCGCTATTCACTTTTCTATTGAAGAATTTTATTTCGCTGATTTATAAAGATATGCGCGGCTCTCACTCACGTTGGCTTCAGTGAAAGGGGAATCATAATTGAGTGAAATGGATGCGGAAATTCTTGCACAAAAAAGAGATATTGCCCCTACTTAAGCGCCAAGCAGAACTTTAAAAAGCAATTACCGCAACGACATGGAATTACACTAATTACGCTTAGACACTAAATATAATTAATAATTGTTGATATATATCTAATCAATTAATTTTGAGCATTAGATGAATTTCTTCGGTGTATATTTTCCGTAGAAATTATATAGCGTAATGTGTAAAATGTATTTTTATTGTCTAATATGTCGAAAGATAGAAACTTCACTTTTATGAAATTTTTTACGCTGTTATTAGAAGTTTAGAACTCCGTTAAATAGTGAAATTTTGCTTATAAAGATTTATAAAAGTAAAATCCTGTGCACGAGAATAATAGAATTTTCCCTCCGTAAATCATATCGTGACATGGTTTCAGCGATAAAACAACGAACAACGTATAAAAATATTAAAATTATTGAAATAGAATTCATGATATTGTTATTGTGTATGTATATATGCTTAATATACAAAAATATTAATATACATTTCCAATATTTCTATTTTTAAAAATCCGAATACGAGAAAATCAACGATCAATCATACGAAAATCTTCAGCATCACAAAATAAACACTCAAAAATACCGTTTGCAATGCAATGATGCAACAAGGTACGCACATGCGCGCGGATACATCTGCACTCGCCACTTCCTGCAGTTCGAGCAGGCACGAGAGCCGAAGGGTGACGAAAACGAATCGTCTTCTAGCTTCATCTGACGCGTACATTACTTTCGTCTACCATCCCTCTCTAGCGTGCTCGAATCGATGACTCTTTCGGACACAAAGGGAACAGATAAAAGCTCCCTTTTACGTAGAAACTGAACCCCTGCATCTCGGGGAAAATCCGACGGGTCGACAAGGACGGCGAAGAAGCGAGAGGGCTTTACCCCGAGCGACAAAGAGGGCCATACGGACGGAGAAGAAAGGGCAAGGAGGAAGGACCCTGACCTCCATCCAAGGCTCTCTCTCGCACTCTTCTCTAAAGAAACCTGAAAAGAGAGCCAGTTTTGCTCCTCACGTAGAGGTAGAGAACGAAACGGTCGAGGGAACCAGGTAGTAGGGCATTTTTCGTACGGCTCGTCTTTCGAGTTTCTGCAACGCGTTCAGCGGCGCCGATAGAAGAGGGAGAAAGGGCCCTTTTTCCCCCGTCACGTCCCTTTTCCTCTCACTCGGCTTGGCGTTTTCAACACACTCTCGCTTCTTCTTGCCCGAACATATTGTTGCGCGCCGGGCCCTACGGCGAGGGCAGAGGGGCCTCTCTACTCTAACCCCCGCCTGTTCTCCTTGCCCATCCCTCCTTCTTCTGCCCTTTCCTACCGGTACTTCGACAGAACGACCGTCGGTTCCCGGTCGAGATCCCCCAAAACGACGGCAGCTGCTGCAGAAAACCGGTGCAGCACGCCGTATAATCATATTGTTGTATTGCCATCGCCGCCCTCTCCTCCTTCACCATCTTTCGCTCTGCCCTAGACGTCCTAGCTCAATTCGTACAAAACGCTGCCAGAAAAACTATTTTTCTTAGCGCTACGATTTAGCGAACCACGATCAAAACTACTTTCTGTGATAACATTTATATTCCAAATATATTGCAGCGTAAAGCATAACTATGCCGATAAAATCCAAAATCTAGACTCGTAAATCATTACAAACCAACCTTAAAATATAGTTTAATACGCTCTATAATTTGTGCGTTAACGATCTTAAATTCTTTTTTAACTACTACTTGCATGAAAGATGTTTCAAACAAGAATTCGATCCGTTTAAAAAATCATAAGTAACTTTGAAATCTCAGACGCAATCGTGTCTAAAACGAAATTATCCCCCTTGATACCATGCAATTTTCTTTTGAAACATTTCTACGAGTAATTAAACAATAATTGAAGGTTGTTAAGTCTAGTGAACTTCCATGTATGATACCATATTCAATCTCTGGAATGTTGATATAACATGATACAGATAATTCGCGAAATAAGAAGTGTTAATAGCAATAATTTGAAACGAAGGCGATTAATTTCTTAAGTAACAGTATATTGAATAATAATTTTTGTAAGCTAAAACAGTTTCTATAAATCACAACTGTAGAAATCTCATTGCCATTAAAAGCTCGAAGCATAATATCAATTATCTCACATTTACCTACATAAAGCGTACTTTAATCTTTAATCTTTGAAATCTCTTGTAGATCACAATTTATAAATTAAATCCATTTTCACTGCAAGCATGAATGATGTGAGAAAAAATACTTTTCATAATATTTCCGAGCTTTGTGTGCTCATGCTGTGAAAACGCACTGTCGGCCAGTATTGGCGTTAGTAAAAGCAGTTTCAACCCTTTAGGTAATAAGAGGCACGGCTTGCGGAGGGTAGAAACAATGGCCTGTACGCCGGCTGGCTCGTAAGCCGGTGGAAGCATACGGCGCGCGACGGCAATCGGAATACTTGACGATCGCGGGACACGAGAATTTCGACGAATTTCCAGCTGTATTTCAGTATTTACTGACCGTGCCCCGCGGAACGCGTTGTTCCGGAACGACGTGTACTCGTGTGCTATTTCGCACACAATAGGATCCGTTTCGAGACGAATTAAATCGTAGGATGTGCTTTGCGCGACGAAAACTTTACGGAATGTTTAAAAGAGTGCTCGTTGAGAAGCACTGGTTTTTAATAGCTCACACGTGGACTAAGCAGACACCCCGCGGTGCACGAGAAGAATGTACTTCTCGGACGCGCCGCACTTAGGCGACAAGTTCCTATCGCGGCGAATAACATCGGGACGTCATTGTCTTTTCGGTCGCATTGAGCGCATGTGTGCAATGTGCATTCAGTTCGGCACTGGCCAATTGCCATGTGCTCCACGAAAGCAGCCGCGAAAATATCCTCTCGGCCAAAGTCGCAAAGGCCAGTCTTTCGAAAAACACGTGCGACGCGTGGCTTTCGTCAGGTTTCGCCGAAAAGGTGTCGGATATACGCGAGTTAATTGCGGAACCGCGAGTGAAAAGCGCGTTAACCTAAAAACAAGTCTGGTTTTAAGTGTCATCGCTGAGAATCGCCACATTGCGTCTTTTCACATATAGAAATATCGCAATCAATAAGATAATAAAAGAAAAAGAAATTACTTTTGATATCTTTAAACTTATTGTTAGTAATATGTCTTGTATAACTTTCCATCAAATTTTAAATTATATTTACGATCAAAATAGAACATCCTGTCTTTAATTATTCTGCTTCACGCATATTTATTTAAATTTAGTTAATTTTAAAACGAATTTGCATATCACCCGTTCAAGATTCTTTTTATATATATAGATGATGCTATACAGCTGTCAAATAAATTTCGGAACAATTTCTCTCTTTCGAGAACTACTTAATTGGCGTGTGTCCGCGTCTTTCTGCAAAACTTGCCGCAGCAAGTTTACGTTTGTATGTGACGAGCCTCGCCACGCAGGCAATAACGTCATTATCAAATTGTTTGCATCTCGTGCAGGAACACTTGTTGAAGCACGATTGACAATAAGCGTTGTACGTCTGCTGAAAGTTTATACGTCGACGATTCGCGGGCTGTCTGAAGAAGCGTTACGCGCTACTTATCCGCCGATAGCGTGAAAATTGCGTGGCTTATATTTTTCTGTATCAGAGATACTAGTAGAAAACAGTACGTTGTTTTAATTGCATGTTAGACTGTCGAGAAGAAGGAACACCCTCGTTCCGTGCTATTAGAGAGATTAACAATTTTGATTCGTGCTCGAAATCTGCGCATTATTGTTACCTTACGTCCATCATAGTACAGTTTTGTACAGTAAAAATATAGTAAATTAATATATATTCCACAATTTTCCTGTGACAGAGGTTTGGTTTTTTATATAAAACGTGGAAAAAAAACTTAAACGTATATAATTTTTATATTAATTTTTATTATTTTACAGTCAATGAAAGATTAATTTCCGGGACTCATGTCTTCAAGAAATTTTGTTTTTACCAAAAGAGTAATAAGAATTAAAGTAACCAGTGTTACCTTGATTCTCATTACTATTTCGATAGAGATACGGCAGAAGACAGGAATGTATTATATGGATAAAAAAATGGATTCTGTATTCAGCTTTTATGACATTTCATAAAATTCACAAAACTTAGCGAACTTCCGAAAAAACATCGAACATTAACATAACAAGACTTAGATCAGTCCCGTTACCTCTTCAGATAAGACGAACAGAAAAATCGTATTAGCAAACTTTCGCGAGTAAATGACTTCCAGGTTCTTATGCAAACTCGCGAAGTTTCCTTCACGCCGCGCTTTCCACGGAAAAGAAAAGCAGATGTGATTCCGATTGAAATGCTTTCAGAATATCACCATGGTTGGCTTATTTTTAATTATCGACATGTACTTATAGTGATTGAAGATACAAGCTTACGTTAATTTTTACATTGTCGCCTTAACTCGAATCTGGAGTTTAAATCATTTTTTTTTGTATATAATCCTAAAGGTCAATTGCGACATCAATTTATTTAAGTATCCAAAATGTCATAAAATTGATATATGCAATGAATAATAGGATATCCGTGTGGTTAACCATTGGTGTCATTCTGAGCAGTTTTTCAGCCAGAAGCACTATCACCTGCGTCCGTTTCCAGACGTACTGGCACGGCAAAATTGTCGGGCACGACCGTCGGGGTTTATTAATAAACATCGGGGAACACGTGCCCGGTCGCCCTTTGTCGCCGACGACCAGACCGTTGAACGGGGGTTGAGAGGGGACAGCTGAGAGAAGAAGCAGACCATTTTACGAACGCGCAAGATGGCCACGCGCCACCGCGCAGTAGTTCCGCGGATGGATAAACAGAATTTCCTGCGCATAGAAATTCGCGCGCCACGCAATCTCACACGCCACGTACAGCAAAATCCGGATTCAGTCGAGACGCCGCCGTTTCGTGCCGTGCTGATCGTACAACAGATCGTATCGAGATCCAGGGAAGCGCACGCTAGTGTCGTTCGCAGATTTCGCCAGGCGATGCATCCAATTTTATCGGTGCATTTCAATGTCGCGATATAGCAGAGGCGAATGAGTGAGCAGTGACAGTGTTTCCCTCATAATACTTCATGTTTTCCAAGGATTAAGTAGCCGCATACAATGGCCACAGCCGCATTGTTAGCTCGTCATTCATATAAATGATTGATTATTTCAGTTTTGTTTGTGTCTGTTCGCGCGTAACTCTTTCCTACTTTTTTATTGCCTCTTAATCAATGATCTCTCAGTGTTAAATAACTAAAAAGTCTCTTGCGAACATGGGATTCAAGTTAAATAAAATTATATATTTATAAATGGAGTATCTCATATCAATTATACTGGGAATGATAATTTAATATAATTCGAACAAAGAAAACAATTTATTTTTATGTTCAGAAATTAAAGATCAATCTACTATCGATCTTGCATATTTTTACAATGATATAAAGCCGCGATGTGAGAATGCGATACGCCTATAATTAATGGTAGCAATTAACTACCATTAATTGACATTAATGATAGCTATTAATGCTAACGAGCCACGCGATTCCAAAATTCATGCAACGGACACGACGAGCAGTTTTACACGGAGCTATGCATTAAATATGACGCGTGCTAACGCGCAAGACCGATGATGACTTTTTTACGAGTTATCTTGTAGCCAAGTGTGCTATTTTCAAAAGAAACAACAGCGAATTGAACGCCGATCGAAAATAGACCGATCGAAGAGAAGTGGAGTATGCCGTAGTTTAATCGCACCTCCTGAGGGGGCAATTAGGAAATCGATTCAGATTGGTTACATCCAATTTTACATGGAAATATTTTTGTAATACAGTTTTCGGTAGTCGTGTTTCTTCTAAGAGTTTTCATTAACGATCAATGTTGAAAGATTCGTTTACTTACGTTTTTTTTACGCACTGTGTACGTTCGTTTGTCGCACTGCAGCTATTGCCGTGATAATCCCAAAATGACGATACACAAACAGTACTATACACCAAGGTTAGGAGGGATCTTCCGCCCGTGTGGAATCCGCGTGATCTGTATGAACCACGATGCACTATCGGAAAGACGACTATTCGGCTCGCTAGAGGAATACTCGGAAATATTGTAGGCACCTTGTTACATCCAGAGTGGTTTTCGGCCAGTACGTTAGTCCACCACGCGCTACGAACAGTGCTCGGTTTTTTTTTGCGATCGAGAGCGCGCGCAAAACGCAACCGACGCCGACGAAGGCCCACGTGCGAATGCCCGAGTCTTCCGTTTGAGTTGTCGCGGCTACTGCATGGCGCTTCAGTTCGCCAGTTTCCTTTTGCCAGTTGGTTTGCCATCGAGTCTCTCGATTGGCCGACATTTATTCCCACTCCCGTGTACGGATACGTGCGCACGCAGGCAGCCCCATGCCCCAGGAAACACGAGCGCTGAAATTCAAAAAGCGGGTACGATCGGTGTTTTCACGCGGTATTCGGCGACGCTGGTTCCGCGGTGGTGAGATGCTTCTCGCGGGCATGGGCAGGGTAATGACTTGTTGCCGGGTGATCGATTGTCCCGAGAAACACGTGTGCGCGACGGGGACCCTGCATAATCGCGGGCAAGTTGTCGATCTTTTCTTTTTTCTGAGGTGTTTGTGTGTTCTATAGATTTTCCTCGAGACTCCACCGAAACTTGACGATAATTGACGTAATTATAGCCTATTTATATTCTTTTCGATTGGAATTTTTACTCAAAATTTTCAATTATGATTTATTCCATTGAATAAATATATAGATTTATGAAGAGTGCACACAGCCGTATAAATTGACACTTATACATATAATTACAATTGAATTCTATTTTAGTAATAATTCCTCTTTCAAAATTCTAGAAATATATTTATTAAATCAATATATTTTTAAAATGAACCTCTTATAATTTGTATATTAAAAATACATCTCAACAAATAACAACATATGTTAGCATTTATTGTGGAATCAGTTATTAAAAGAATTATTAAAAGAATTTTATTACTTTATTAGAGTGAAAAAATACACTTTTCTTTTCCGCGAGGATTTCTCCTAAGAAAGTGCATAACAAAGCGAAACGATTCTGAGGGATCTACGAGGCGAGGCGGTGGTCCGCGGAAGAGCATCAGCTGTTCGAATTATTATCGTTGCAGACGATGGCAGATGTTCGCTAGCCTGAAACGTTCTCCCCCGAAAGCTTTGAACTCGCTGATCCTTTTTCTTTCAAGCCGGTGAAAAACTCACGGAGGAAAGCGCACCTTTTCGACGCTTTGCACGAACCAATGCATCAACGCATACAGAAAATAAATGCATGTTATCTTGAATTATAGAATGCCAGGATATCCGGCATCCCGCATTGTATAATGATTCTTTTAAAACTATATCAAAAATCTCTTAACGCTACGTTAATTGATACTTTTTTATATTTAAATATCAAGTATATAACTAAATAATGTTGAACAAATTGTAGTATATTTTTCATAAGTCTATATAAAGTCTATTTATTAGTTGATGACTTCGGAAAAATGTTAACTTGTTATTGCAATTTTGTTAGATTAGAATAACTTTTCTGCGAAAGCAATTTTCTTACGTGCAACTTATGCATTGCTTCTTGTTATTAATGTATATTAATAATATTAATATTATGAAAGAAATTCTCTCTTTTTATGTACGAAAATATAGAAACTATTATTTATCATTAACGTTGAACTCGTCAAGCAAATTTATTTAATAATTTTAATGTTCTGAATAGAAGCCTAGCATGAATTTTAACTATATCATCCTTCATAGATAGTTTTATGATACTCATCAGTAACGACCTACTCGAGTTACGATTATGTTCTTATGAAACTCAATGTGAAGTAGTCTTCATGGTGCTTCTTGTACGCGTTATGCCAACAAATCACAGTCTTAAGATAGTCGTAAGGAATTTTATTATACGGGGCTTACGGGGGGTAGGCAACCAGGCAGCGATAATTCGTAGCTGCCCAGCTACATACGTTCTCTTTGATGCCAAGGATAGACGAAGCTCAGGAACATCGCATTGTTCGAAACCTGCCGTTACTTACGTGCGACGGAATATAGGATATCATCGTCCGTCGCGTCCGCGCTCGAAGGAGACCCCATAGGTTCATGGCACGCGCTGCCAGCTGCCCCACAGCTGTCTCTCCTCTGTCGTCCCCCATATACGAGACCAGGGTTCTTACCCAACCGTGGTGCATTTACCACACCGAACGAACCGTTTCGCTTCTGTGTGCACGACGCACGTGCGTACGACTCGGCAATATTTTATTAGCGTTGCATGGCACGTTGCGACGAGTGAAGCACCCATTCGAGTCCTCCCAAGAAATGAATCTCGACAAGTACTTGATCCGGAAAATCCGTCAAAATATTCTGAACAATCTCCCAAACTTCCGAAATCGCCATCTCAATCGCACAAAATTATAGTCATTGTTAAACGTCTTTATTCATTGTAATTATTAAATGCGCAGCATTGAACTTATTGACTTTTGGAATTTCTGAATCTAATTTATTTTTAAAAATGTTACCGTATTCTGATCAATTAATCTTTCAAATAAATTATAACCAGTAAAAATATAATCTCAAGTGCGAATAGAGTTATTATTATTTAAAGGAATATATCTAAATCTCTGAAAAGTTCAATAGCCGCTATTTCTCGTACGAAATATACATGCTGAATTGCATATACGTATGGTGCCACTGGGAAGTGGGACTATATGCATGGGGCTTTACATTTGCGGTTTCCCATCCGGCTCGACCGGCGCAGTCTCGCAGGAAATAGTCCTGGAGTATCCTAGAGGATACAGGGCTATTGGGTTTCGCGTGAAAAAAAAAAGAACGAGATCGCGCCGGCACCATAAAGTGGGTATGAGAAGAGGATACGAGGAGACGTAAGTGCTCGTACGAAAAATAAAAAGGACCGTGAAGGGGGAAAAGCGAAGTGCACACGCCAAGAACCGGAAATCCCAGGGCGTTCAACTCTGACCGGTATATATTTAGATTTAAAGAGACCCGATCTAGTCCGATTTCATAGATACGTACATGGATAAGCGATTAATCGATAACCCCGATGTTGAAAGTAACACTTGAATCTTATGGAACCTATCACCATCTCGTCCCAGAATTATTCTCATCGCTTGAAAGCAAAAGATTTTGTGTGTTTATAGTAGTCATAATTTAGAAACTAAAAGTTACTGCATGAGTCTGAAACTTCGTCGCTGCAAAAGAAGTAAGATTACAAACAATCGTTAAATCGCATCGTTAAAATTATCAGAATCGTGCTAGATTATTTATGGCGCGCGTAGAAACACGTAACGAAATACGAATAAAATCGCAGCATGGAGTTCACAAGGCGACACGTCGAAGGGACCATCACCTAGTAGGCAGATCTATCTCAATCATTAATTCCTACGATAACTTGTTCGAAAACGTTTTGCAGATATCATCCTGAACGGAGCTTATTACGCGAGAGCCATGTGCTTTGAAACAGAATTATTTACGATTACACGTTCGAGAGAAATGGGCATTAAATTGACCGGCCACGTGGCCGTCGATAGCATCGTCGTCGTTTTTAAAGAAAACTTAACACTTCCGCGAAGGAAGCCGATCATTTCCTATCTCGTGTTTATTGCACAATCGCGCACGCGATACCGACATGGCTCACCCACATAACCGCGCCGCGAACTCACGGAATCGACGGGGCGAGCGACGGCGACGTGCCACTCCGCTTATCGTATACACGGCGTACACGCGTGTCACGCCGAGAGTGGTAACGATCGAGGGAAATTACTGTAATCGCGGCGTGTCAGAGTTTCGCGATTGACTCACCCGCCGTCTGTAAAGCTCCCGTCTTTGGCACGCTCTTCAGGACGGAGGCACGCGCGACTTGTTGAAACCATGCCGCCTGGGTATGTTAAGAGCGAAAGCGCAACGACGACAATAATTAAATATCCGGGTATATACGTATTTGCATATCGTATCCGCACACTTTCCGTGCTTTTTCCGCATCTTCTACAACCTACTTTTTTCTGGATACGCATTAATTTGTTTCGCAAATTTAACAGTATTCCTTTAATTATAATATGATGATAATATTCTTGACGAACGATATTTGTGTCGCTTGGCAAATGAAGGTAAATATCGGAACGTGTTTTTTTGTTCTTCTGATTTTTAAATATTATACCTTGCTTATCGCCGCGAACTGAATGTTGATGCGCGATTTAGATTACGAAAATCTGCTGGCTGAAAAATTACGCGCGAAAACTGCAAAGTACCGGTATCTTTAAAGACACAATACCAGCGGTTGGCGGCCTTCTCGAAATAGACGAGGAGCCCCAGCCCTCCAAACTCGTCCGAAAATAAAACAGGTTTCTTCCTTGCGAGCGGCGACGTCCAATTGGTCGAGACTCCGACGAAACAGTCATTTATTTATTATCCGACGTTTATTTCCGATGGCAGTTGTCGTCGTCAATGTGCCACTCATGTAGATCAACGAAACTCGAATGCCATTAGTGAATCATGTTATTGATTGGCTTACGGAAAATCAATCCCGAACAACTGTGCAATCCTGTGAACAATTGTTCAAACAAACTACACATGTAGAAACTCGTGTTATCAAGAATACGAACTTCTCATGATGGACATTCTCGTGAAGTATTACTATTTTTACACGTGTCGCAATTGCTTTCAATAATGTTATCAATTACGGATTCGATCACAGAATTGTGAATACCTACAGTGATGTGATTAAAAAATTTGTGAATTGGTTACAATTACTCGAAGGATTTTTTCCTAGCAATAATAATGTGCATAATTACTAAAAAAAATTTTAAAAAAGAGTTATACGCATTATTGTTGCAATTAGGCTTCTAGCTATTACAGAAAAATAATAATTATTTATAATTATTTGTATAACTTTTTCATAATTTTTATTTGAATTTTTGTACGTAGTGCACAAAACATTGCTCATCCAATGTGTATTTTCTCACGAGGTTCTATGTCATTAACTGTAGATAATTTTAATTTCTGTGGAATAATTAAATGCTTAGATATAATAGAGTATTAGATATACTAATCATTGAGAGATATATATAATTATCTCTCAGAGAGATTATATAATAACTATAGTTTATAAGAAATTATAATTTCTTAAAAATCAAATACATTGATATGAAATGCTAAGGTAATAATTATATTTTAACCAATAAGGGTGCCATAAATCAAAATACAATTAGATAAAATTGACAGACAATATATTTCAATGATTGACAGTACAATATAGGTACATCTCTGTTATCTATTGACTAATGTTGCAAGTATTTCGTGAATAATTACCTTTCCCTAAATAGTACAACAATGGATATCATTAAATATAATATAAAAAAAAACTTTTTAAAAGCTTTTAACCCATATAAATGCATTTAAAAAAAAAATGTGTAAGGAGAACTTGTGAATGTATCAAAAATATAATTATACATAGAAAAAATAAATTATAACAAAAATTTCTCTATTTTATCAGAACATTACGAAGCAAAATATATCAAGTGTTTCTAAAAATGTCCGTAACTCTAGTATATAGCTGACTCGAAAAATAATTATAATATTTCGTATTAAATATAATAAATACAGTATAATAAATTGTAATTTTAAACACATTAACTTTCATATTAATTTAGCTTAAGATTTCTTCTCAGGATCTTATTTATCTTGTGTATTTAATAGATATCTTTGTATGAATAATTTTTAACTGCAACATTTTAATTTTTATAAGTTTATCAGATATAATCTACTTTACGATTTGGTGGAATTTATGTATAATGAACTTTGTATAAAAAATATGACTTATTTTAGTTATTTTAAGGGTCTAAAACCGCTGATATTCGGTAGCTGATAGTTCGAAGGAATAATCGAAGGATATAATCGATTAAAATCCGTGCCTACATATTCGTTTGTGTGATCGGGCGAGAATGGCGCGGGAAGAGGTGGATTATGTCCCGGATAAACATTGTATTTATCGTCGTGATAAAAATTGGCGGGTTGTTCATACGGTACGTTATAGCTAATCTGACTGTACGGTTGCGTTGTTGTAATGTCCACGTGTTGTATATTCTGCGGATACCCACCATAATATCCTGGGAAGTGCGGGTATTCCTTATAACCGCCATAATAATGATGATGATGTGTTGTATTTGTATCGTTAGGTGAACTTGTCGTAGTTGCGTTATCTGGTACGGTCTGATTCGCAGCTTGAAAATTCAAGGTTGCTCGCAAATCGGCGGCATTCACTTGGAGATATTCACGCTCTCTGGCTGTTCCCTTGCCATGTTTCCGTTGGCCCTCTTTGCACTCGCCTATCATACCCTAATAAAATTTGTAATAGTACAAATCAACGTGCAATGTGTTGTCGCGAATCAAGCGCAATTAAGTATATCTCCGCGAGAAAATGCTCAAAAAGTATTACATATTTTCACGTGTACGATATAATATATATATATACACAAGTAAACGATATAACGATATAAATTAACAAAAGTATTAATATCATTTATTATTAGGACATTATGGAAATTATCTTTTAACGAACCTACATTATACGCGCCTCAAAACAGAAACGACATAAAGTAAAAAAATATTTCTGTTACAACGTAAGAGATTAGTTACGACTAGACACGCAGGACTTTATACAAGATACCGCTCCGTTTAAGAGCCAATACCTCAACGCGCGCGTTATCTTGACACATACACATTGTGGGTCCAAATAAAATTACGGGCACACACGTATCTAGTCATTCACGCGTGGAAGCTACGAAAGAGTAACGATAGACACGATGAAGCCTTTAATCATTTGTCATATGAACACCTGTCGTACAAGTATGTTATTATCCGAGCATACGCGATAAGATGACCTGTTCTTGCATGAATAGATCCAGCCGTAGACCCAATAGGAAAGGTACGTGCCGCGTTTATCGGGTCATCCCGGTATGTAAGTAAACTCGAAAACCTTGAAGCTCGCTTTAGGATTTTGCTTAGAGATTAAGAGCTACGCTCCTATTAGATTAGATAATACGTAGCATACTGTAAGTAAAGCGATTAATAACTGTAATTTATGCATAAATATATCACTGTACACTAATACTTTCGCGCAATTAATTGAGCGTACGAGTAATCGATGTTGGTGTTTTTGAGAAAGCACGGTACTCGTTACCGAGTGAGATGCTCATCGAGATAAAACGTCGCGTGGCTTTCCGCTCTGATTTCTATTTGCTCACCACGGCACGAGCCGAGATCTATTACATCCTTACCTTCTCTTCCGCGTTTCGATTGGCTTCGGCTTGCAATCTTATGCGATCATCAGCCCCGTTGCCCGCGTTCTCCGTGTCTTCTGCATAGTCCTCGTTGTTTCCCACGAGATCGTTCGGTCTGTTGTCGAACAGGTTTATTACTTGAGGCGTTAGATCGTTCTGCGACGTCTGGGTTTTTACGGCGCCGATCGTTGGCGCGAATCCAAAGGGACCGGGATACAAGAACGGATATGGTAGAAAGGGAGCTTGCGGATATTGGCCGTAATAGGCGGTGAAGTATGGTGAGGTTTTGGAGACACCTAGGTTTATGCCGAACATCTGTGGCATCTTGGCGATCATCTTGCTCTTCACGGTGGAGGATGCCGCGGTGGCTAATCCGCCGAAGCCGAGGCCAGTTAGAAAGGCTAAGCTACTCAGAAATCGTCCTCTCCTC